TTGGGCAGTGGTGTTAAGAGGATGCGTGACTTTTCATTACGAGTTTTTTTCCTTACAAATAAGGCAGGTTAATAGCTTTCAAATTCTGTTTCTGTAAGAGTCCCATTGGTTTTCTCTGATACAGCACATATTTTGTGAACAGGAACAGAGACTACATTTAGGTATTTATATTTTTCTCATCACATTTGTCTTTTGATTCTGACATCAAAACACACTATAGGTTAATGCGAGTATACACCTGGAGTTACAGATAAATTTTTACAGCTGCAGTGTCAGATTTTGAATCCTCATTAGGCTACAAAAGGTCTCATTATTTAATACTAAAATTCCACGTCCTCTGAGCACCGCTCTGTACCCGAAAAGGTGTGAATGAGCAGATACTGAGCCGGTGCCATAATGAGAGGTTTCTTGCTCAGTCTGTGCTCCTCAGAACACCAATTTAATTTTATTTTATTTTCTTAATCTGTTCTTAATATTAGACTTGTCCTGTTTGGAAGGTTCTGCCAGTAATTTAAACTCCAGCTGGCAAAACTCTGGGAGTCAGGGGAACATTCACTGTCCTCTCTGCCAGGGTTGGTAGCAGGGAAGGGACAGGCACAGAAAAGAAACTTAACAAATTAACATGCAAAAGTCCATATAAATGAAGCAAAGTAGCTCTCTGCACAGGCCTCATGCTCAGATTGGGCTGGAAGGTATCAAACCATTAATTCTGAGTGTCTCAACATTACTGGTATTTTGTAATAATTTATTTTGGCTGTAATTCACTGAAAGAATTAATTATTTCCAGGTCTTGCACTGATCTAAAACAGGTTTTTTGTTGTTTTGGCTGTTGGCAATGACTCAAAATAATCTATTTATAATATTTATGTTCTTCCAGGTTCTTAGGTACATACCTAAATGAAAACACGCAAACAATATTTCTATAAATTATAATATATATAGTCTTTAAAATCAGCATTTCTTCTCCAGAAACTACACCTATATATCCTGAAATAATTATTAAACAGAACAGAACTTATTAAAATCCTTACTGGGTAACTGCAAAGTTAAAATATGTCTAAAGTTGTGCAGTTTTCCTTGAAAAAAATCACGTTTTAATATTTCTCCATTGTTTTGAATCCTTATTTAAATAATGGTGGAAAAGAAGAGGAAGACAATGCTGTGCAGTAAAAGCACAGAAGAAATAAATAGAGAGCAAAAAAATATAGCAGCTCTGCAAAGTCATATAGTCCCTCTAAAATCAACTTCATGCATGTTGTTCAATATGAAAGGGATCGATTGGACAGAAAAAAGACGAGATACTCTTCGATATGAGCAGCTGTTGGTGAGATAATTTGCTTTCTTGCTGCTAATGTGTTCACGAATTTTATTAGGAAAATCTGCCTCATGTCTTGAACCAGAAGGAGGACAAAGGAGATAGCATATTGCAGGCATGATGCAAGGAGTGCAGTAATGCAAAACATCTGGGTGGAGTGGACAACAGCTGAAGCTGATGTTGCCTATAAAACGAGCAACATTCCCTTTGTTGTATTTATTTTCCCACAGCAAAAAAAAATAGCATTGATAGATTTCTCCTTGAAGAAGCATCTTTTCATCCACTCCAATAAGTTTGCAAACCTGAATGATCTCTATGAAAAATCTTATATTTATGACAAAGCAGTTTTAGAGGACCTGTGGTTGATTTTAACCAGGACTGAAATGCACACAGTTTCCATAGGAGAAAATCTGGCTGTTTAATGATAAACCCTTTTAAAAAATATTACCTTTACTCAACCACTAGGTAAATTTGATGTTTATTGATTCACTGATTAATATAAGCAAATCAAATACACTTGATGTTATTTCAGGTTTGCACAATAAATATGTACCTAGTAATTAGCAGATAATGAGCCATGAACAATAAATAACTGCATCTCAGGCATAAATATGTGAACTTTTGGGACATCCAAGTATTTCTTGGAAATTTTGAAGCTACAAGTGTTTGTGAGTAGGTGTACACAGTTTCCCAGCAGTGATGAAATAAAGTTACCTTTTTTTTTCACAGATTTGAGAATCTATTCTCATGCCCTCATTTTTTTTTCTAGCTCTATCAGAGGGTATTACATTTTCATATTGTTTCAAACAGTGACCTTAATAGTCACTTAAATTACGGCAGCTGGGGTCTGAATGAGTATTTATGTTGGCTGCAAAACCAATTCCATCCACATTAAGGAAACTGATCCTATGATTAGAAGGGAGAGTTCAAGACTAGGCTGTCTCCTTTTCATTTTTGCCATAAAAAAAAGAGCTGTTAAGGAAAATTGGTGGATTCTTTGGTAGAAATTTAACAGCTGCCACTCAGTAGCACACAGGTCTTGTGAGCATGCCTCACTCCCCAGTTGTGAAGCACAATTCATGTTGTTTAAACCAGCCTCATGTAAGCAGTGTAGGGGAAAAATGGCAAGAATTTCTTGGTTCTTGATTGTGTGAACACCATCTCATATTTGAATCACATAGGCATTGGAAAGAGCAACAAACATCCACTTTAGGTTGTAGAACCCCAAAACACAAAATTCTCCTGTGTTAAGACTGTGCTTTGCTAAGTGGGATTTCAAGAGCTTTACTCCTGCTTGCTCAACTGAGTGTTTTAATTTACAAATACATATATAATAAGCTAGGTCTTCTTTGTAA